ATTCAATTAATTTATATTTTGTCTAAATATACATTGTATATTATTTTATTTATTTTATTCATTTATTTATTATCGGCCCTTTAGGGTCATCGCCCTATGGCAGAGGGGGTTTAAATGGAAATACAAGAGCAAAAAAATATTGTTTGCATGTGAGAGTTACACAGTAATTACAATATAGGTTGTATACGAAAGTTAGAACTTAAGGCTATATGTTTTATATTTATTATTCTATTTACTGTTTCATGGTAGAAATAATAGGCGTGGATGGGGTAAAATGGACACTTGACTTTTTTTAAAATGTTCATGACGTCCTGAATTGTTCATGAAATGGAGTAATTTTGTTTTTCAATTGAAAGGACAATCATTCCTCTTTGAAAATTATTCTATGAATCAAAACAATAATTATTACTGTCGTCTTCATCTTAAAATTTTGAATTTTATTCATTGAATAGAAAAAAAAAATTGAGTTATCCCGGGACAATTTGTTTAGCAAATAAATAGTAAATAACCGCATTGAATCATGAAGTCAGATGCAGTCTCAGCATATTTGTACACTTTGCACTCACGGAATACTTGGGATGCAATTAGTTATCTCGAAATGCATGATCATCAAATTACCTTTAAGGCGAGTTATTCCACTTTCTTTATAATTGATAATAATTAATATTCTCAATCTCGACTTTTCTTGCAATGTTGATACAATTATTATTCATCGTCTTTCGGACATAAATTAATAATGGTTTTTCCATAATATCACACAGGAAAAAATTTCATAGAAAAACCTAGCGAATTTTATAGAATAGTATATTCTATTGAAGTTCTATTGAAGAGGAAAATGTTCTATAGAAACTATTTTAATTCATTAATTTAATTGTAATTTTTCCACTTTATTTTTCTTATTTTTTCATTTAAAGAAATCAAACAAAAAACTTGAAAAATTCGACCCGAATATTTCCAACGGAACATTTCTATTTAAAAAAATGGGATATATTATTTTAGAAAGATCAGTAGAAATTCAATAGAATTATCTATCGAATTGATCAGATTTTTCTGCGAAATTTTCTCGTCGGAAAGGAACATAATACGATACGTCCCGAAAATAATGATTCTTCATCAAGACAAATGCCCGGATGAATGAAGAATTCATCCCACAACGTGAATACATTCTGTAAAAGTACAAGTGAAATCCAAAAATAGCGAAAGAGATGTCTTTGACCACCGGAATAATGTATTCTCGGCGTTGCATCGCGAGGTCAATGCTACGACCAAAAATTCACTCGAAATTCCGTCGTCATTCGTCACGATTTTGTTCAATTAATTCTCTGATTTTTTAGTCTCGGGGAATCTCACGAGGGGAGGGAGCAGTATCAATTGATCAATTGTTTTTATAATCTAGTGGGAAAAGAAGGCAAATAATTATCATAAATGGGTGACGCGAGAGGGAATCATTCCAGTCACTGCGCTGAGTCACTTTGTACAAAGGACAAACTACTGTTGAACAAAAGAATGTAAAATTGATCAATCCTGGGCTGATGTAGATTCAATAACGAGTTTATTTCGCATTTTGTCGTTTGCGATTGTTCGATGGAAAAACAAAAATTATTGACAAATTATTGACTATTTTTTCTTCAGTGAAATGCTTTTCTACTTTTGCTGTCGAAAGCTCGAGCTTTCATGTGAGCCTCATTTGACCCCAAGTTTCAGGACATTTAACGATGATTTTGTTATTTAAACTTTGCAGATCTGAATTTGAATTTCGATATTGAATCGTTAGAAAACATTTCAAAAATCTAGATGAAAATTAGAAAGAAAAAAGTTTACTTTCAGAGGATAATTGATGAAGTCATTTAAAAATTGATATAAATAATTATCTTTTGGACACAAACTATTATGACTACTTCTGTGATAATTATGAGACCCAAGATCGATATTATGAGATTAAAAAACAATGATAAACTCGAAAAACGCACAAAAAATTGCAGAATTCATTGATAAAATTTTTTATGTTAAAAATATTGTCTTTTGGCTTTTGGAATTTTAGGGAAATTGTAGTAGAAAATGCAACAATTCCAGCAGAAATTACAATGCCTTGTTAAATTTTCTACAAGATTATTGTATTTTCTATTAAAATTCTGATGAAAATTCCTGGCACTGCGATTATGAGGAATTTTAATCATTTCAGTGGCTCATTCCGAGTGGAGCCCTACACTGCGGATCCAGTGGGAGATAATCTCCGAGAAATCGGTCCCAGCGGGACAGAGATGAGCCCTAGAAATTGGCAGAATAAATTCGCCATAAACTCGCGCCCTATCTTGACCATCGAAAAGTGACGAATCGGCAATAGAGTTGATGGATCTGTCCCTCGGAATGCAAAAGAAAAATGAGCTTTGGCGATGTAAATGCAATGATACTTATCGATGGAATGTAGATGGAACTGGAGAAAATAAAAGAAAATATCCGAAATGGAAGTAACAGTCGCATTAAGAAGTCTTGAATCATGAATATCCCCTCATCCAATGGAGCGATTCGGTCGAGAGAAATTTCATTCTGAAGCTTGAAAAAATTCGTTGGAATTTTCATGATTTCTTTCAACACATTTCTTTAAACGGTGTTTATAAATAAATAATTGAATCTTTAAACTTTCGCAAAACTAATTTTTTCAGGCATGAAATCGATTTCTGGCAAAATTCTGAAAATCGATAAATTTGTAACGATGATTTTTATAGTAGAAAATTGATTGTTCATAAATTATTTACAGAAAATCCTCGCAATTTTAAAAAATTGCAATTTTTTAAATTATTTCGTCAATCTTCCTCCAAAAGTAAACTGTCTAATTTTTTTTCAAATTTTTAAAATGATTTCCAACAGTTCAATATCGAGATTCAAATTCAGACTTGCAAAGTTTAAATAATAAAATCACTGTAAAATCTCCGGAAACTTACAGTGATGAAAAAAATAAAGAAAGACCTCGCGAAATCGTTAGAACATTCTATTGAATTTCTATTGACCTTTCTATTAGTTTTTGGCCGATTCTATTGCAAATGTTCAGTAGAAAAAGTCAATAGAATTCGATTTTTCTATCGATTCGATTTTTCTATTCGATTTTTCTTCGATTTTTCTAACGTATTCTATTGAGATATTTTCTATAGAATTTCGCCGGCCCACATTTTCCAAGTTTTTTGTTTGATTGTTTGATTTTAATGAAAAGATGAGAAAAATACAAACTTGGAAAATTCCTGATTCTATAGAAATTCTATAGAGGTATTTTCTATAGAAATTCTATAGAAACGACATGAATACGAAAACGATAATATGAAATATGAAATGATATAGATCCAGTTTTTATAAAAAAAATCTATAGAAAATATCTCTATAGAATGTCCGGAGATTGTTGGGGGGATTCTATAGAGAAAATATCTCTGCAGAATTTCTGTAAAAAACTGGATCTATATCGTTTCATTAAAAAACTGATTAGAAAATACATCTGTAGATTTCCATCGAAATTCTATAGAAACAGAAGTTCTGCTGAAAAATCGAATTCTATTGATTTTTTCTATAGAATCTTTTTCACTCAACATTCCCACTGAAAAAGACACGCGGGTAACCTGTGGAATTGCTTCAATAGAATCGGCCAAAAACTAATAGAACGTCCAACAGAGATCCAATCGATTTTTCTAACGAATCTAGGTTCCATCATTTTTTTCGTGCGTTCAGGGTGAAATCGGGCTCAACCGAAAGCTCTGATGTTCGACTACAAAAGCGGCAAATCATTTCTCTGGAGAAAAAATCCGCAAAGTACTTGGCTATCCTCAAATAAGCAATCCCAAATTTTTACATAAATTTTTCTTTTCATACGAAGGACGTCTCCAGAGAAAAAAGTAGAGAAATGTCGCAACTCCATACGAAATGTTTCTAAACATGTGGCAGTGGGTCGTATAGGATGAAACCTATAGAAATCGTATAGAAATAATTTGTATAAAAAATATCTGTACAGAAATATCCGAATACCATAAACGAAAATCCTGTAGATATTCTATACACAATCCGTACAGAAAATTTCTGTACGATTTTTTCATAGGTGCCCTCCCCCAATATTTCCACAATCCGCCCGTAATTCAACAAAAGAGAATGCATCTGCATTGTCCCTCACACGCGATAGCCGACAATGAAACTATGAAAACGTTCATCCACGATTTTCCGGAAATGCGTCTATAGTTCAGGGTCACCAAAGCCTTGGGCCTCCCCCTCCTCCCCCCAAGGATCCACCGCATCACAATGCAATTAACCTGTGGGTAAACTAATCATCACCTCCAGGTAATTGACCCCAATCACACAAACGTGTGGTTTTCATTCGAAGTGATATAAAACGTCCTGATCAGACTGTCCTCAGTCATCGGGACGTAGGAAGTGGAGACCACAGTATTAACGCGAAAGACGGGTGGGAGGGGTCAATAAAAGACTCGTTGCTGTACCGATAGTGAATCAGAGTGGCGGTTGACTCCGGTCTCAGCACGCGGAAGACCGAGCGCACCTCTCCGTTCTCCCCTCATTCTCGATCAAACAAACGGAGCGAAAATTAATCTCCAAATTTCCGATGTTCATTCATCGATTGTCTCCAGTTGCCCGCGCCTTGTCGCCGAGTTGTCATTGATTTTTCGTTTCGCGAGGGTTTTTTTTTTCAAATAAATTTCCGGGAAAAATTGATTCAACGCGAGATTAGGGAAAGAGTGATCCAAGTCGGACGATAACGCGCCCGTGGAAATTTTCAAATCGATAGTGTCGTGGCAACGATGTTGTCCTGACCCGCTAGAGGCCAGGAAGAGTTGAACTTGCAGGCGAGGAATTCCCCATTTCTGCCAGTACTGGAGATTGAAACTGCCCGGGAGGCGAGGGGGACTTGAAGTTCTCAATTGTTACTGTGATTCAGTGAATAATAAGTTGGTTATTATGGAGATTGGGGGAACGAGGGGGAGAGGGGCTGGGGGATGGAGTTCTGTGCTTCATGTTGCGTTTCTCGTTGTTGTGATATGCGTGGAAACGCGGAATGCTGTACCACTCGTGTCCGAGAATGGGGCTATGGTGAGATGTCTTCTTCTTTTTATATTTTTGGATTTTTAATGCGGCGGGGGGCTGCGGATTTCAAGGGAATGACGAGTAAACATTTAATAGATAAACTTGGCGAATTCGGGAGGAAATTCTATTGGGATTCTCGAGAAATTCTATTGGGAGTTAATTAAAATTGAAATGCCACTTGCTTTTTGCGCGGATTCTATGAGATTTCTAGTAGAAGAAAGTCAGCAGATTTCGATTTTTCTGTATGAATATGTTGGGTTTTTTTCTGTAATGCTTGAGCATGAATTTTCCAAGTTTTTTCACTCGGATCCTGGAATGCAAGGCAAAACAAAAACAGCGGGAAAAACTTGGAAAATTCGTGTTCAATAATTGACAGGAAAATCTGGAGAGAAAAATTTTAATGGAAAAAAGAAAATCTATTGGCTTTTTGCTGTTAAATATGTGATAGAATCTGCGTAGAAAACAAACAAAATTTTGACTTCCCGCAGAATTTATGGAGAATGCCAATAGGATTTTCTAGCGAATTCGTTTTCTATTAAATTTTTTCATACGTGAAAACACTTCGTTCTGACGTTTTTGCTTCCGAATGAAACCTTTGTTGTCTTTTGAATTCAAGTTTTGGATTTTTTGTGTGATATCGACAGAGAATGATCCAAAAAGTCCGAAAATGTGCGCCAGGGAATGAATGGAATCGAATCTTTTCATTTCAAATGTAGGTATTGTTGAGCCCCATCGATCGCCATTAATTAAAATTTAATTCATCGACTAGTTTTTTAATTTTCGAATTTTTTCGAAAATCGGTTGTCCCACGATAATTAAAAACATGTTCTGAATTGATTGAATGATGGCTTAAAGAATTTGTTTGGATGTCCTTTTGACCGAGTTCGAAGATAAAGGCGATAGCAATAATCGTTATTTTGATTTATTTGGAAAATTGCAAAAATTTTGGATTTTTTGAAAATCAGAATTCCGGGGATATCTTTGAATATCGTGCTTTAAATTAATTCAATCATAGCTTAAAATGCTTGTTTCAATGCCATTAAGCCGAAGTTGGAAGAAGATTACGATAGCTGTATTGGTTGGTTTGATTTTTATGATGATTGTTGAAAATTTCGAATTTGTCATGAATTTCCCTGAAAGTGAGCTTTCCGATGGTTTCTTCAAATGTGACGTTTCAACTTCATCCAAGTATCTGTAAATAAAATTTTTCTATTAACATTTCAGTAGCGAAGCGGTAAACCGGGTTAAGTCGATTTTTACTATTGGCTAGTTTTTGACGAATATCTCGGAATCTAAAAGAGATAGAAAGATTTTTGTCATGACCTTTTTTGTAGAGCCAATAGAGCGTTATAAAAAAAGTCATGAGAAAAATTTTGCTATCTCTCTTAGATTCCGAGATATTCAGCAAAAACTAGCTAATAGTCAAAATCGACTTAACTCGGTTTACCGCTTCACTACTGATTTTATCAAAGGGCTGAGGGGAAAGATAGAACAGTAAAAAAGACAATCGGTTGTATAGAAGAAAGGGATAATAAGAATAATGATGATGATAACCTTCAACTAAGTTGAAAATCTGACAAAATTAGCAAACAGAAATCTTATGCAATTTTAGGAAATGAAATAAACAATGAGTTATAGATGATAGAAGGAAATTCACTCGGTTGTACAATTTATTTCATTCAAAATTTAATTCATTAATTTAATTCAATTGAATCAATGAGTTCATAAAACTTTCCTCTAAGAATTGAATAAAATTCACGACTTTATGTCGTAATTCAGTGATATTCAGGATGAAATAATTTCTATCGTGTAGATAATAAATTATGCATCAAGATCAAACGGAATCTTGAATATCTCAAACGTCGTTACGTGCGTGATACTTTTTACATCATGACGAACGACATTTTCAATGTCTCAGGAAAGTTTAGCAGCTTGTTTATCGATGATTACTCTGAAGCTACCGATGACTCAGTCAAGTGCACAATTTAAATCATGTGCTCAGTGTATTTGTTCACCTGTCGATGCAATTTTCATTGAGCCGGAAGTCACTTAAATAAATTAAACGAATAGATGAATCAATGAAATGGCGTCTTCGTATCACATTGAAATCAATGATGATGTGATTCCTAGTTTTTACTCGTCGTTTCAGGACAGTTTACGAAATTACATATTTTTTCGCTTCAAAATCTCGTAATATCTAGTTTCGTATCGACGTCTCGGAAATTTTAGTGACTCCTTTCTTGATGATCATCCTCGACCTACCGATGATTCAGTCTCATCGGCAATTTATCGCATTCCAAATTGATGAAAAGAATGAATGTTCATTATAACCCCAACACAAACTGATGCTATAGTCACACGTAGAGATGATCTCAATAGATAACTGGTTAAAAGTGAAATTATAAGATAAAGCGTGTTTCGTGACGGCGGGAATGAGCCTCTGAAATACAGCAGTTGACCTCAGTAACGTTGATCCTCTCAAAAAAAAAAACAACTAATTTATGACGGAAAAAACATAATGACTGTTCATGTGAGACAAAGAGCAATTTTCTAATTGCGTGGCCTTCGCAGATTGTCTTTGTCAAGCGCGTTGAGCATTTCTACGTAAATTTACGAGAGATGAAAGAGGCATTGGAGAACATTCGGGGTCTCATGGGCCGAAATATTGTATAGGAAATTCTATTGCATTTCTGTTGAACTTCTATTGAAAATTCTATTAGTTTGTAGACGATTCTATTGAAGAATTCCACAGCTTCAGGGGGTTTTTTCAATCGAAAATGTCCAATAGCAACTATTCTGCGGAACAAAAAACTGTGCAATTTAATTTTTCTAGTGAGACATTTCTATAGCAATTTCTCGAAATAAATTTCCTGAGTTTTTTTTCACTCTGTTTTTTGCTGAGAAATTTCTATAGAAAAATCGAATTCCATCTTTCCATCTTATATAACTTTTTCTATTGAGACATCTCCTACAGGAATTCCTCGGCATGAATTTTCCGAGTTCTTGCACTCTATTCATCTTCTCTCTTCGTGAAAATGAAAGAAAAACAAAATAAGAAAATTTGACCTGAGGAATTTCTATAGAAAATATCTCAGTCGAATAATTCAATAGAATTTTTTGAAATTTGTATCCTAGGAAATGGTTATTTTTTTTCTATTGAGACATTTCTATAGCAATTTTTCGAAATGGATTTCCTGCGTTTTTTTTTTCACTCTGTTTTTCGCGTCTTTTGATTGAAGAAATTGAAGAATAAACTTGAAAAATTTGAGCCGAGAAATTTCTATAGAAAAATCGAATTTCATTAATTTTTACGATAGAGTATTTTCTATTAAATATTTCTATCGAGGAATTCCGCAGTTTTAGAATTCCATCTTTCTATATAAATTTTCTATTGAGACATCTTCTACAGGAATTCCTCGGGATGAATTTTCCGAGTTCTTGCACTCTATTCATCTTCTCTCTTCGTGAAAATAAAATAAAAACAAAATAAAAAAATTTGACCTGAGGAATTTCTATAGAAAATATGTCAATCGAATAATTCAATAGAATTTTTTGAAATCTTTTTGCAATTGCTTATATCAATTTAGCCAAGATGTATGGTAATAGTTCTCCCACCCGCTATGAATCCTCATTGTATCCTAGGAAATGGTTAATAATGTATGGGCTGAATGCGGAAATAGTGAAATAAAACCACGGCTGAGAGAGGTTGACCTTCGCTGTTGCGGATCCCCAGTCTGTACACGAATTCATCGGCATTGAAATAGTGAAATTAATCAGACGCAGATAATGGCATCAATGCAGATACATCTTTTTCTCGATTCGTGTCGTTGTTACATGATTTGAGATTCAATGAATTCGCGTCAGAACGAGCAGCGGGATCCGGTTTTCAACGGAGGAACAGGGATTTAAAGTGAAACTAATATCACTTTACTCGTTCATTCATTCATCGATTTCCTTTGATTTTGTAATGAAAAAGAGAGAAAAAACTGTACAACTTATTCTGCTGAGATGTTCTCTATAGAAATTCCTGAGCTCAAATTTTCCAAGTTTTTTCCATTTTTTTTCACGAAAAGAGAAAAAGAATAGAGTGGAAAAGTTAAGAAAATTCATGTCGAAGGATTCCTATAGAAGATATTTCAATAGAATAAGCTGAGTATAAAAATGGAATTGTACGGATTTTTTCTATGAAATAAATTCTATTGGATATTTTCTGCAATAAAATGTGTAGCAAACCGTGGAATTCTTCAATAGAAATTTTCTGTTGAACTTTCTATTAGTTTTTGGCCGATTCTATCGAGCAATTCCGCAATTTCCTGGCGTCGTTTTTCCAATAGAAATGCTCAATGGGAAATATTCTATAGAAAAATATCGAAAATGTTCTATAGAAAAATTCTACGGAAAATCAACAGCATTTGATTCTTCTGTACGACTTATTCTATTGAGACATTTTCTATAGAAATTCCACATCTAAAATTTTTCAATAGAAAACATTCAATAGAAAAAGTCAACAGAATTCGATTTTTCTATAACTCATTCTTTTCACATATTTTCTATGGAATTTGCTCCACTCAAATTTTCAAAGTTGTTTTCATTATATTTTTCTTTTCTATAAAATTCTTCTATAAAAAATTCTATAGAAAATATCTCAATAGAATAAGTTATACAGAAAAACTGAATTCTATTGACATTTTCTACTGAATATTTTCTACTGAACATTTCAATACAGTAGCGAAGCGGTAAACCGGGTTAAGTCGATTTTTACTATTGGCTAGTTTTTGACGAATATCTCGGAATCTAGAAGAGATAGAAAGATTTTTGTCATGACCTTTTTGGTAGAGCCAATAGAGCGTTATAAAAAAAGTCATGAGGAAAATTTTGCTATCTCTCTTAGATTCTGAGATATTCAGCAAAAACTAGCTAATAGTCAAAATCGACTTAACTCGGTTTACCGCTTCACTACTGAATAGAATCGGCCAAAAACTAATAGAGCAGTTCAATAGAAATTCAATAGAATTTTCTAACGAATTCGATAGGTTTTTCTATGAAATTTTTTCGTCCGTGAATTCCCCACCGAATTCACCCGATTTTCCCATAAAATTCTTCGTACACGGGCAATGTGACTGACCGATCAAACGAAAAGTCTAGTAATAATTAACGTGTGAACTGGAATCGATGATTCAGCCGACAGTCGGGGTATACGCACTCGATTTATGTACATATGCTCCACTACTTCCGGCCGTCGTTGAATCAGCATTTTTCGCACCAATGAGTGACTCACACTCGTCGGAGTGACCTTTCCTCATGCGTATTTTTTATCCCGCGGGCATGATGCTGGGACAGCTCCCCCCAGTTTCGGGTGCTCCGTATTCTCCGCAAAAAATACAGCTCTGGGAAACATAATTTTTATTCTGAATCCGTTGCAGGCGTCGAGGGCTGCGGGCAAATGGCGCAACGATTTTTATCATCTGGGCAAACATTTTGGGGTGCTTGAGAGCGAACAATAAAGCATATCTTTAAGACCGGTGCAGTGAACAAGTCTTGACCTTGTCCTTGGAGAGGTCTTTGTCGATTCGAAGCCATCGGTATTCCACACCCTCACACACGCCTCTCGACGCGACGCGAATACAAAGGGTAATGTGTGGCTTTGTGTTCGCCACACGCATCACAGTCCGGCATGTGCGATCACGAGAGATCAGGAGTCTTGTTCGTTAGATGAGGTCCAAATCCTTTTTACCAGTGGGGATTTACGCACTCTGGTTGATGGGTTTGGGGGGCGGGTTCGTCATCCCTGCGCGGGGAAAATTGTTTCGTGAAATGTTGGTGAAATATACCAACTAGTTTTTTTTTAAATTGCACAGTCAAAAATATCTGAATTTCACACATCTTTCGCAGACTTTGTGCACTATCCGCCTCTTGAGCCAATTATTTCGTTGCTGTCGAAAGCAGAACAATTATTCATGTTTGAGACTTTCGAATTTGAACCCAACGAATTTTTTTTTGCAATTTTCAACTATTTTGTTGGCCCAAACAAGACTTGTTTGACAACGTGTTTGTTTTTCCCTCAGTGTAGAATTCAATTTTTCTGTGAAACTCATTCTATTGAGATATTTTCTGTAGAAATTCCGCGGCTGAAATTTTCCAAGCTTTTTGTTTTCTTTTTAAATGAAAATAGAAGGAGCGTAGAGTGGAAAACACTCGGAAAATTGATGTAGAAAAATTTCTGTAGAAAACGTCTCAATAGAAAAAGTTGTATAGAAAGATGATATAATAATGATTTTTTCTATAAAATACACGCTCAGACCAAAAACTGATTCAATTTCCGATGAAAGTTCAATGAAAATTCAATAGAATTTCCTACAAAATTCGCCGTGTGAAGTTTTTCGTTTTATTTTCATCCATTTCGACATGAGGCCGCAAAATCTGTAAAAATGAAAAAATCACACTCTTCATATTTCCGTTGCGAAATCAATTCCCCTCTGATGATGAACTCTTTCACACATGACATCGTCGTAGATTATATCAACTGATACACAAATACGCCTGATTAGATACCCCGATAACGCATTGTGAATGTCGGAGATAAGAAATTTCCGGAAAGCAGTGCATCGAGTCGCTGTATCATCGCCTAATTACGGACAGTACGTGTGTCATTCGTTTGATAATTATGCTAATTTCGTACGACTAGTTGGAACTAACGTGCGTTTTTCATGAGTACAATCGTCTTGCGTCGAATTTTTATGAAGTCCGCCTGACAAACAAAAGAGAATTTAATACCATTCTATGAAACATGAACAAACGAGTCATAATTGTCCAAATAATTTAGGGCAGAGGAAAATATAATAATTCTACTCTCTTAATATTGCGTTTACTGAGGTTTTCTTCGAACAAAGTTGATTAGAATTGATAGCTAGAATTATGAGATTGTCTCACATTTTTGACTTAAGGACAGGAGAATCTGAATGCAATATAGTGAAAATGATCGATTTTTTCACTTTGAACAAATAATATTAATATCTAAATACAAAATTTCTTGCGCTAGAGAAAGAAAATTCGAGTTTTTCTCGGATTTTTTCCTACGAATATCACTGCGATTGTCGACAGCGTACGGGGTCTCCCGATGAGTGACGTAATTAGCGCTGTCTCTGCATCTAATTGAGGTCAAGGAAGTCACTGAGGGTACCTTCGGCCCTATCGATCATCCGGAATTCGGTTGTGACCCAGTGAGAGTCCGACTTTCAGCCCAATTTCCAGAGTTGACTTCACCCTTTTTTTCGTGAAAATGTTCGTTATTGGTAGAGCTGGGCATTATTACAGTAACACTATTCGAACTATTTATATTTAAATTTGTCCATTAAAAATAGTTTCTGTTTACAATTCAGTAGTGAAGCGGTAAACCGGGTCAAGTCGATTTTGACTTTTGATCAGTTTTTGATGAATATCTCATGACCTAAGAGAGATAGCAAAATTTTTCTCATGACCTTTTTTGTAGAACCAATTAAGGGCTATAAAAAGGTCATGACAAAAATTTTTCTATCTCTTTTAGATTCCAAGATATCCGTCAAAAACTGGCCAATATTCAAAATCTACTTTACCCGGTTTACCGCTTCGCTACTGAATTTATGAAATGTTTATGAATTTAAAATATCCGTCAATTAGTTGATGAGAATTTTCTGAAATAATAAAATTTCATTGTTTAAAATGAAGTTATTCTATTGCAAATTGTGTAATTTTTGAATGGATATTCAACGAAAAAAAATAGATCTTTATTTGTTCTGCATAAATTTATTCTGTTGCGACTTCGTTAAAAATTCTTGGGCATGAATTTTCTCCTTCTTTCTTCAAGAGAATGAGTTGGGAAGAAAAATCAGACGATAAAAAACCGATTATGCACGTGATTAATAATTTATTGAGACTAGATAATCCGTTAGATTGCGGAAATCATAACTGATTGTTAGAACAGTTGTAACTGTTTCCCAATAATTTGAAATAGTTCACATTCAGACTGATGGTATCGGCACCTGTTGGATATCCGTGGGTGTTTCATTCATGATGATAATTACGGCAAGTTGCGGAGATTGGCGGCCGAATGATTCATCTTTACTCGGGAGTAATTCTGAGAATTGATTTTTTCACGTTTTCTGTTGAACACACATATGACAGGAGCGCCATAGCGAGATCGAAGGGAAATACGATATCGAATCGTTGATCATTTTTTAGATATTCTTGAGCCTTATTCATCGACACTAATTGAAATTGAATTGATACATTCATTTTCAGAATTTTGGAATTTTTTCGAAAATCGGTTGCCCCACGATAACTCAAAACTAGAGAAAAAAATTCCGAATGGTTTTTTTGCACATAATTTCCTCCTATCATGTATAATTCATTGTTTATTCCATTTTATTAAATTGAATAAGATATTATTAATTTTTCCTATTTTACTAAAGATGAAAGAAACGTGAAGTTGTTTTATATCGAAATATCTCGAAACTGCCTGACCGCTAATACTTAATTCTGATTGGTCAATATGTGACACGTAGTTATTCACAAAAAAAAAAAACGCCGCATTTTCAAATTCTTAGACATAATTTCAAATTCAGTAGTGAAGCGGTAAATCGAGTTAAGTCGATTTTGACTATTAGCCAGTTTTTGCTGAATATCTCGGAATCTAAGAGAGATAGCAAAATTTTTCTCATGATTTTTTTTATAACGCTCTATTAGCTCTACAAAAAAGGTCATGACAAAAATCTTTCTATCTCTTTTAGATTCCGAGATATTCGTCAAAAACTAGCCAATAGTAAAAAACGACTTAACCCGGTTAGACAAAAGCGATTTCCCACTTATATCCAATGAGAATACAAAGCTGAAAAATTATTCGAGGTATCGATCATCCAGCGGGGATTTCCACGAAATATTTAAGTAATTGCGGTAATATTTTCTGCAGGAAGTCGCCTGTTTTCACTATCCAAGGGCGCGTGATTGTTATCAAGAGATGATAAAATTGTGTAAATTTATTTTCGGATAGCAAGATATTGCGTCAAATCGTATCAGTGCGTTCAATGTTTCTATTTTTTATTTTCAGAGATACTTGTCGCAGTTTGGGTACTTGCCACCATCGAATCCCACCAGCAGTCATATTATAACTAAGGATACAATGTCCAAGGCGATTACGGAATTTCAATCGTTCGCGGGATTGAACGTCACAGGTAATAATGATTATCTACAATTCGATGTTTTTAATGGAAATTTGTACGATGATTTTACATCGCCTGACGATTTCTATAATTTCTCTAATATTTCTTGAACCTTGAAAATTTTGATGGAATCCTTTTTGCACAAAATTCTGAATTCTTTGGAATTCTTCAAAATTCTTTAAAATTCTTTATTGACACTGAGAAAATCTATAACGTTTAATTCAATCATTGAGGACTGTAAATGTCAATTGGAAATGCGAAATATGTTTTGTATTTTTAATGGAAATTTGTGCGATGATTTTACATCGCCTGACGATTTCTATAATTTCTCTAATATTTCTTGAACCTTGAATGTTTTTTTGGAATCCTTTTTGCATAAAATTCTGAATTCATTGGAATTCTTTAAAATTCTTTATTGACACTGAGAAAATCTATAACGTTTGATTCAATCATTGAGGACTGTAAATGTCAATTGGAAATGCGAAATATGTTTTGTATTTTTAATGGAAATTTGTGCGATGATTTTACATCGCCTGACGATTTCTATAATTTCTCTAATATTTCTTGAACCTTGAATGTTTTTTTGGAATCCTTTTTGCATAAAATTCTGAATTCTTTGGAATTCTTCAAAATTCTTTATTGACACTGAGAAAATTTATAACGTTTAATTAAATCATTGAGGACTGTAAATGTCAATTGGAAATGCAAAATGTGTTTTGTATTTTTGGGAATATATTAATTGTGCATGTAATTAATATATATAAAAAGTCTTAGCATAGAGCTTTTCTCTGGACGTTCGTGATAATCATTGAATTTCGAAAATATCGGATTCTTCTGGAGGGAGACCCCATCCTACTGCGGCATTAATGTGAAATATGGGCCAAGCTTGATGCATCGGTTGAGTTCATGCATCCGCTCGCATTGAATATTCATTCCCAAGTGGGACACTCGCCTAAGCTTGACCAAGTTTTCGCACAGGCCGTTAGAAAATTGCACGATTTAAGGACTACACTGAGAGAAAAACAATCACGTCGTCAAACAAGTCTTGTTTGGGCCATCAAAATCGCTAGTTGAAAATTGCCACAAAAGAATTTGTTCGGTGTGAATTTGAAAGTCTCAAACGTGAATAATTGCTCTGCTTTCGACAGCAATGAAATACATGGCTCAAGAGGTGGATAATTGTTTTTGGTGGCAAAAATAATTTTTCCTCAACAAAATTGACGGAAAATCCCAATCTCAATTAGATATATCAACGGAAGTGGTTGAAAACAATAAAATTTCAGTGAATAATTAGTTTCAGTTTAGTCACAGTTTATTTCGACAATGAAATAAATAAAAAATGCGCGATGAATGCGACAAGAGGCAAAAAGAATCATCAGCAATTTGATTCTGGCCTGGTAAATTTAGTTTCCCACAGGGAGATTCACGGGTGATTCATCCTTCAATGAAGTACACCATTCACTTAAAAGTGATTCAGCGGCTGCTGCCAGATATCCCACAAAGAGCACTCAATTAAAACCGAAAATATATTCATTATCACAGAGGAATAATGGCGATGGAGTGGAAATTGTGAGGGAGTATATCACAATGAGGAAGAAGTCCTGTTGGTCATAAACAGTTTACCGATGTCGTCAATAAAAACGACAGGATCAAATGGTGCTGATGGAAAAAAACAATGGCACGATGGTAGAAGGCCAGAGCAGATGATTTCCGCGTGGAATTGTTATTTCTCGTCATTTCAACAGATATAATTATGCAATGATTATTGGATATCTCAATAAATCCACGGACATTCAGATATACTCATCCGTTACCAATTGCACGCGAAGAGAGGAATCTCTTGACAAGTGGGAAATTGCTGTCGTTATAAAGTAGTCAATATATTTTTTTATGGCGATGTAGTTTAAATTGAATTCTATGATTTATTGAATTCAACATTACGCCAACGTTGGCAGCCAATATTGTCCCGACGTTGACACCCATATTGCCCCAATATTTTGCCAACATTGTCCCGACGTTGGCAGCCAACATTTCCCCGGCGTTGATAGCCAACATTGTGCCAACATTGGGACCCAACACTGGCCCAACACTGTCCCGACGTCGGTAGCCAACATTGTGCCGACATTGCCCCGACGTTGATTTTTTTCACTTTTCCCTGAATATTAGGTTCAAAAAAATTGTTTTCAACAGATAATACAATCAATCTCATGATCGCACTCGGTCGAGATGGCGCTGGGAAGAATATTTTAAATCCCAATTGGATTCATCTAAATGAAAAAACCGCAGAAATTCTTTTAAAAAAATTATGATGATTAAATGAAAATATTCAAAAAGTATTGATTAACTTTTATTTCCTCGAAAAAAATTTCCACAAAAAATATTGTCTTTTCGAGAATAAAACTGAATCAACTGAAAAAAAATACAAGCCAGATGATCAATACTGCTTGAAACTATTGCGTGACCCACGTGAAAATGGAATGCGTTTTACCCAGTAAATCCCTCATGTAGTGGTCAGCAGGAAGTTCGGTGGTATACGAAAATCGTTCAGTGTTTATTATGTCTACATGTTGCTACACGCGAGCAGCACACCCGAACGTTTATTCCACGTGTACGTGGAGGGATACTCATCTACATGATGCTCGTAACTGACAGAAGTCAGACGGGAATAAGTTCAAGGATCAATAGCAACATTTAAAATCTCGAGAGCTTATTTTATTGATTGACATTCAACGGCTCTTGCTTATTTTCTTTTTCATTATTTCAGGTTTCTTGGATAACGAGACCGTTGCCCTCATGTCGGCCCCCAGATGCGGGGTGAAGGACAAAGTTGGGGCGAGCTCTGATGGGAGATCGAAGCGTTATGCTCTTCAAGGTGTGTTTCAGGGAAAATTAATTTTTTTTTCATTTTAGCTACGATTTATTCATCTCTGATTTAAGAAGCTTCGGTAGTAAATTTTGCGCCGTGAATTCCCAGCGAAAAGAGGATGAAAAAATCTGACGGATTGCGCGAAAAATTTGTTCTCTTTCTAGGATCTGGATGAAGCGAGTTGAAAATAATGTGAAGAAGATAAATAATTTTGAGAAGTGTTCAAAAGTACGAGGTGGTTGGCAGGCGAGGACGCCGCCATCTTGCGCAAGCGGCTTCGAAGATGGCGGCGCTCCACCTCGTACTTTTAAACATATTTTAAAATTATTTATCCTCTTCAAATCACCCTCAACTCACTTCATCCGGTTTCTATAGGTTGAACAAATTTTTTAAGCCACCTTTTAAATTTTTCCACTCCCTTTCAGCTTCATTTCCCTTTCAAATTCATGGCGCAACGTTTTCTGCGCATTTCGGGAGCTTTTTTTTCCCCCTCATGACTTCTTAATGCGTTGTAGTACCGATCAAAATCGCAGTTCGGATAAAAACTTATTTCAGTAGCGAAGTGATGAAACGGTTCAATTCGACTGATCTCCCAGTTGAGTTTTTGAGGAATATCTCCAAATCTAAGGGAGATAGCGAAATTATCGTAATCACATTTGTTGCAGCTCTCAATCGGCTCTACAAAAAAGTTCATTATAAAAATTTTGCTATCTCCCTTAGATTCCAAGATATTCATTGAAAACTTGCCAATAATCAAAATTGACAAACCGTTTTACCACTTCGCTACTGATTTATAAAATGCTGAGGACTCAACGTCCGATGAAATTGAAATGGGCTTCAAAGGGGATAATGATTGTATCCGATAATCTGATTTTTTGTCATTCACCTGATTTTGTTATTGAATGCCAGACCCACGTAACAACTCTTCATCCAGTTTATTCAAGCGCAACGCTCGGACTATTTCGTCGTGGTAATGCGAACAAAATCATTCAAACTCTAGTTTCAAGCCTCTGCGGGTTTTTAAGTTCATGCCTTCTGTCTTGTGGAAATCATTCCTGATAAGTCTCATGTATTTTTTGCTGCAACTTTATGTCTGGGGTGTTCACACTTGCCAATCAAGTGTGTCCAACGAAATTTCGAAAAGTATACGGTACAATAGCCAGCGCTTCTCACGGTTTTACACTGGATAACGCAGACCGCGAAGGTTTATGTAACTCGAGCGGGCGTGTTATGAACATGTACCTCGATAATTACTGATGATCGGTACTCAGTGGGTAAGCCGTAGGTGGCATGGAGTTGCATAAATGGTGAATCGAGGCACGCGAGCTAATGGGTGTCCTCTCCGAGCCGGAACACAGAGTGGAAATAATAACCGAGGATGAAATGCATTTTTAGGGAAATTGTGCAGAAATGCGATGAGAACAAGTGGGCAATTGCACTTGTATTGCATATAGTATAGCTATTTTTGCCAATAAATTAGCAATTTGCTTCCGAATTGTTATTTTGCATATCATTTCCTTCTATCATGTATAATTCATTGTTTACTTCATTTTATTAAATTGAGTAAGATTTCTTTTTGAATAATTTTGTCAGGTTTTCAACTTAGTTGAATGTTATCATCATCATTATTCTTATTATTCCTTTCTTCTATACAACCGATTGTCTTTTTTACTGTTCTATCTCTCCCCTCAGCCCTTCGATAAAATGTTAATAGAAAAATTTTATTTACACATACTTGAATGAATTTGGAACGTCACATTTGGAGAAAGTATCGGAAAGCTCACTTTCAGGGAAATTCATGAAAAATTCGAAATTTTCAACGATCGTCGTAAAAATCAAATCGTAATCATCTTTTAACTTCGACTTAATGGCATTGAAACAAACATTTTAAGCTATGATTGAATTCATTTGAAGCATGATATTCAAAGATATCCCCGGAATTCTGATTTTCAAAAAATACAAAATTTTTGCAATTTTCCAAATAAATCAAAATAACGATTATTGCTATCGCCTTCATCTTCGAACTCGGTCAAAAGGACATCCAAACAAATTTTTTAAGCCACCATTCAATCAATTCAGAACATTTTTTTTTAGTTATCGCGGGACAACCGATTTCCGAAAAAAATCGAAAATTAAAAAAACTAATCGATGAATTAAATTTTAATTAATGGCGATCGATAGGGCTCATCAATACCTACATTTGAAGAAAAAGATTCAATTCCATCCATTCATTAGCGAACAACTGAAGAAAAATTTTGTTACATCCGCACACACATACACTCACACGTACGGACGATCTCTGAAAATTGCATTTTCGGACTTTTTGGGTCAGAGTGGGTAGATATGACAAAAAATCCAAAACTTAAATTTGAACGATTTCATTGAAGGTTTCATTGATAAATCTCTTTATATTATAAAAATCAAAATCTGGTGATGAAAATTTGGTACTCGAAATTAAGATTACAAAATTAAGGGTCACAAGGGCCAAAATAACGTCATGAGGGTCAGAATCAGGGTCGCGAGGACTATAATGAGGGTCTCGAGGATCCGATTAAGGGTTACAAGGGTCCGAATAATAATTATGAAGGTCATGTGTGGGTCATCTGGGGATTGGCGAGCGGAGCGAGCCAATAAGTAAACAAAAACATGCACATTTTCCCCGCTACTTTCAGGCTCCAGATGGCGAGTGAAGAAACTCACCTACAAAATAACAAAATATCCGCGATTACTGGAGAAGGCCGCAGTAGATAAGGACATTGGCCGAGCATTTGCGGTCTGGTCGGAGTACACGGATCTGACATTCACTCAGAAGAGATCGGGACAGGTGCACATTGAGATTAGATTCGAGAGAGGAGAGCACGGGGACGGCGATCCCTTCGACGGACCCGGGGGCACTCTTGCTCACGCCTATTTCCCGGTGTACGGGGGTGATGCCCACTTCGACGACTCCGAGCATTGGACGGTCAACAGCTATCGCGGCACTAATCTCTTTCAAGTTGCTGCTCACGAATTTGGGCATTCGCTGGGACTGAGCCACAGCGATATCAAGTCTGCGTTGATGGCGCCCTTCTACAGGGGATATGATCCCAATTTTATGCTCGATAGCGATGACATTCAAGGAATTCAGGTAAATGCGGACGAAAGAATCTCCTTTGGATTTCTACACTGAGAGAAATTTCAATGGGAATTTTAACTACAAGGGAATTGTCAAAGAAATTATATTTACAGTAACAATAAACTTTGTGGATTAAACTAGGACTCATCGCTCGATTTACTATGTCAAATAGTGTCATCAACATTATGATGTAATTTTCACTTTACCGTAACTATTATTTTTTTGACAATTCCCTTGTAGTTGAAATTACCATTGAAATTTCTCTCAGTGTATTGAAAATTCTATTAGTTTTTTT